ACGCTGCTCTGGGTGCAGCCCAGGACACAGTCACTATTCTCAGGCCCTTAGAAACATTCAGAAGAATCAAGGAGGGGAGAACCCCCCGTCGCTTCAGAGTGAGACGCTGATTTACCTCTAACTGCCTAACGGCAAAGCAAGGCGGTCGCTCACCAAGATGTCTATGGACGGAGGCTGCACGGAGATGTAGATGGGGTTCAGGTCTGTCTTCTTAATGTTCTTCACACCCTGGATATCAATGTCGAGGACGCAGATCTGGTTCCGGGCTTGAACAGCCTGCACTGCACCTTTACTGAGGACAGAGCAAAGAGGGAAGAGGTCAGAGCATCCAGCCATAGCAGTAGGGGTTTGGGTTGTCCCCTTCCTTCATCTCACAGGGTTCCTCTGTGCTCAAATTGTGGCAGGAGAGAAGAAAGAGCCTGTTCTGCTCTTGTTAAATGGTTTCTCTTCTACTCAGAGTCCTCTGGGTCCCTAGGGTGGAGCAGGGACATGCTGTTTCCTGCTAGAAAGGCTGGTAAAACCATGATGGAAGGTGAAGAAATGGATAATGTGTGACTATCCCATGAGCAGTGTGGCTTGGGTATGGTCCACAAAGCTCCTGCCTTCAGCAAACACAGGAGCAACCTTCACTAAAGGGTAAAAACACTGAGACCTTTCCTTCTCCAGAGATCCACTGATTTCCACATCTATGTGGTCTCCTGAAGGATGCTTGATGGAGATGAGTCACAAGATGCACAACTCATGAAATAGTTTTCAAGTGGTGGTTCTCATCTGTCGTTAAAGAAGTTGTATCTTCCCCAACACAGCAGAATTGCATCAAGTTTGTTCCTGACCACCTACAATTCTCCACTGAAAAGCAGCAATACCAACCTTCTCCTGGTGCACTGGAGATACCTGGACTAGTTACTGCACAGCAGCCCTCTTGGGAGACTTTTCAGTCAGTATTTGCACAGCGCTGGGCACAGATTCTCCTTCAAGTCAGGGCTCTGTGCCATGATGGACAGTGAGGAGAGAAGACCTGCCAGGAGCTCAGAGGTGACACTGCAGGTTTTGAGGTCATGAAGCCAGGAGGTTGTGTAATGGTAGCAGAGATTAAGAGAAAATGCTGCCCTACAGCCAGTCTCCAACTTGTTTGACTCCCTGCCCGTAGCCAGGACACCTCTTTGGACCTCACCTTGTCACCCTGCACCACCAAGATTTGTGCCCTGATACCTTCTGCAAAGATGTGCTGAAAAGAGACTCCCTTAAACACATGCTCCTGTGTTGTCCTACACCCCATGAGAGGGGGGAGACAGCTCCAGTGAAACAGGATTTGGGATCAGCACAAAGGGGAAGCACCCCTGGGTGTCACACAGCAGCTGCTCATGGGAGGGTGTGCAGAGGAAAACCACAAAATCACAGTGGTTGGCAAAGACCTTTAAGATCATCGGGTCCAACCATAAACCCAACACTGCCAATTCCACCTCTAAACCATGTCCCTCAGCACCTCGTCTGCCCATCTATTAAATATCATCAGGGATGGGGACTCCACCCCCCTGGGCAGCCTGTTCCAATGCTTGACTGCCCTTTTGGTGAAGAAGTTTTTCCTCACATCCAATCTAAACCTCCCCTGGTGCAACTTGAGGCCATTTCCTCTTGTCCTGTCACTTGGTCCTTGGTTGAACAGACCCACCCCCACCTCTCTCCACCCTCCTCCAAGGGACTTGCACAGAGCCACAAGGTCTCCCCTCAGCCTCCTTTTCTCCAGGCTCAACACCCCCAGTTCCCTCAGCCGGGAACTCAGCACACTCGTGCTCCAGACCCTTCCCCAGCTCCGTTGCCCTTCTCTGGACACGCTCCAGCACCTCCATGTCCTTCTTGGAGTGAGGGATCCAAAAGCTCTCACCAGCCCCACTCCTGCCTGTGCCAGTGGGAGAAGAGAGGATCTTCACCAGCACAAAGGGAAAAGACCCATGGGTGTCACACAGCAGGTGTGCAGAGGAAGATGTGACAGCACAGACGCAGAGTCCTGAACCCCTGGATACCACAGACTCATGACAGTTCTCTGCAAACACAGCTGGGGGGGACAGAGGCAGCGTGAGCAGAAGGTTCCTCTCACAGGGACAGAGACCAGAGCCAAGATGGGGAAAGCTGTAAAGACTTCTGAGAACCTCCAAGCCCAGAAAAGCCCTGGCAAACGGAGACGAGCAACAGAGCAGCCTGACATAGCGATGCTGTGAGCTCCTCACGCTGGATGATGGGGAGGAGAGGACAGACAGGCAGCCTTGGGGTCCTGCATGGACACTGCTGTGATGAGGTCACCCAGGAGGATGGAGGTGACTGGTGACGTTCCTCCTGACCTGGGAGTCCCACAACACATCACAAACCCCAATAGGAAGGGAAAAGGTAAAGCAAAGCTGTGAGACCAACACTGTGCCCTGTACAAATACAGAGGTTTGCTGCCTTGCCTGGATGGGTGGCAGTGAAGAGCCCAGATCTCAGCACCCATCCACCATAAATCCACAAAAACTCCCCAAAATGGCTTGGTTTGCCTTGTGAAAGTCACAGGTTTCATCAGGTATCAGCAGGTATCTACTGCTACATCTGATCTACAAGGAACCAGCAGCTCCCAGAGCCCCTAAGACCAGACCTCATGCCTGCACTCTGATTTAAGGCAGCTTAAACTCTGCCTCTAATTTAAGGCAACTTCAAAGAAATTCTGGATTCTGTAGGCAGGACTCAGCACTACCCCACAGACAGGGCCCTTTCAGGGCTCTTAATTGAAGCAATTAATTTCTAGTTATTCATTATTATTAGCTGGTGATATTTAGGGAGCAGAAAGGATTGGTGAAACTTCAGCTGTTCTGATAAGCACGAGGGACTCTTCATTTTATCACATAACTGATTAAAAACATCCTTAGGCACTTCTAGAGAAACATAAGGTTGGAGAGTTTGTGTATTTGTTTTGTTTGGGATTTATATACTGGTATAGATTATTAACAGGTATTTATATTAGTTTTGTTTGGTATTTCTATATTGGTATCTATTTTAAACAGGTATTTATTGTTGAGATGGTCTGGGTTAATTTCAGCCTTCCACCTTGCACACCCACCACCACAGACAGAGCACAAGCAGTGTGAAAATATAGAGGGGATGGAAGATGAAAATGAGGTCAAGGGAGATAAGCACCTCAAAACCAAACCCAAGCATGGGGTTTGATTGGCAGGAATTTGATTAAAGTATCAAATTCCAGCAAATTTTATGGGAATTGGCTGAGGAAACTGAGAAGCTGATGTCTTCTCAGCATCCACTCTGAGGAAAAAGGACTAAAATCAACTCCACCTACATATCAGGCATCAGAAAGCAGCTGTCTCCTCCAGGCTGTGGCTGGCTGGATTAAGCAGGACGTACGTGAAGGAAGGAAGCCTGTTCCTACGTAGGATGAAGCCAGGGATTAAGAAGCTTGAACTCAGTTTCTCCTTGGTGCAGAGTATTTTAGAAGATGAGCTGTCAGGTTTTACTTCTCTTGCCAAACTAGTGACACTGGAAGCATCAAAGCCAAGGTAAGAGGTTTGTGCTCCTCCATCAGCCTCAGAGGGAGCACGGCCAGACCCCCTGTGAGGCTGTGCCCTGTGATAGCAGTGACACCTCTGCATGTCACATTAAAACAGCTGCTTTACTGAAATGCAAAATCACCAACACTTCCTTCAGAGCTGTGACACCAACAGCACCTTCAGTCTGGGGGCTTTATGTTGGTGCCAACATAAGAAAACCATCCTCAGAAGGAAACTTTGCCATCTCCAAGAAATCCTCAAAAAAAGCACATTCAGCTCTTAAAGAAATAGAAGTCATCCTGAAAAACATCCCAGGGAAATTTCTGTAATGCAACTAATTAAATATCTGGGGTGCATTAGAAGGGGTGTGGTTAGTAGGTCAAGAGAGGTTCTCCTGCCCCTCTACTCTGCCCTGGTGAGGCCGCATCTGGAATATTGTGTCCAGTTCTGGGCCCCACAGTTCAAGAAGGACAGGGAACTGCTGCAGAGAGTCCAGCGCAGAGCCACCAAGATGATGAAGGGAGTGGAGCATCTCCCTGCTGAGGAAAGGCTGAGGGAGCTGGGGCTCTTTAGCCTGGAGAAGAGGAGACTGAGGGGTGACCTCATTAATGTTTATAAATATGTACAGGGCGAATGTCAGGAGGATGGAGCCAGGCTCTTCTCAGTGATGCCCAATGGTAGGACAAGGGGCAATGGGTGTGAGCTGGAACACAGGAGGTTCTGCTTAAACTTGAGAAGAAACTTGTTTACAGTGAGGGTGACAGAGCCCTGGGACAGGCTGCCCAGAGAGGGTGTGGAGTCTCCTTCTCTGGAGACATTCAAGACCCGCCTGGACGCCTTCCTGTGTGATCTCATTTAGGTTCCTGCTCTGGCAGGGGGATTGGACTGGATGATCTTTCGAGGTCCCTTCCAATCCCCAACATTCTGTGATTCTGTGTGTGATTCTGTGAAACATTTAATTTTCCTCAGAGCAGATTCTTTACTATCACGTTACAATTTCCTCACAATAATTATATATCTGACTTCTAATTAACATTTGCAGCTTCATCTTTGACTGATCATCAGCTCCAAGGGCCAATGCTATTTTAAAATCCACCTCTTTAACCCCAGTCAAGGGTGCTGTGCAATTTATCTCTCTGTAAGCAGCCACTTCACCAAAGTAACACACATATGTGTTCCACAACAGCCCATACAGGTGTTATCACTTCTGCTCCTGAATTCATTGTGTTCAGACCATTAGATAACGCAGGGAAAATGAGATTAAGTCTCTATTCTGTCCCAATACTCTCTGCAAGGACTTAGAAAATATTAAGGAGAATAGTCTGTGAAAATCACCTCTGTGCAAGAAAAGTGTTAAGCACGTGAACGACTTTCAGCAGCTCTCAGATGTTATAGAGAATCTCATAACACAATGAGGATTTAATTGTAATTTAACTCTCTGCAAGAGTTAAATCTGCCATCTTAATAAAACTGACAAGGACCCCACTATCAAAATTGAAAGGTTTTGCTTATCACAGAATCATTAAGGTTGGAAAAGACCTCTAAGATCATCCAGTCCAACCATCAACTCATCACCACCATGTCCATTTCACTAAGATCATCCAGTCAGGAACCTGACCATGACAAGAGGAACCTGACCATGCTCTGGATCTGTTTGGAATGGCAAGAATCTGGGTGTTTCAGGGAAAACTGTCATTAAATTAAAATATTTTTCTTTTCCTTCACCATCATTTCAGCTCCCAGCACCACCTGGGTTCAG